TTTTTTTTTTTTTTTTTATTACTCGACAAGAAATGATCCCATTTTGTGGATATTTCTTTGGTGTCTTTGACATAGGGATGTAGTTGACTTCTTAAAATTTATAACTTATCCTACAGTTTTTCTCAGCTATTCTAAAAATTTTCTGATTGAGATTCCTGAATTTTTTGATATTTTTTTCTTGTTTTCCTTTTTTCAGATATTAACATCTGCAAATAATGCCACCCTTGCTTTTTTTTCTTTAAATAGGGAAAAAATTTTTTGTTGAAGTTGACATACAATATTAGTTTTAGGTGTACAACATAGTGATTTGACAGTTACATACATAATGAAATACCAGGATACAAGTATTGGTAATTAGCGTCTGTCACCATGCAAAGTTATTAATTATATTATTGACTATATTCCCTATGCCATACTTTGCATCCCTGTGACTTATTTATTTTATAACTGGAAGTTTGTATCTCTTAATCTTCTTCATCTGTTTGGCCCATTCTCCTACCCCCGTCCCGTCTGACAACCATCAGTTCTGTGTATTTATAAATCTTTTGTTGCTGTTGTTTTTAAGTTCCACATATAAGTGAAACCATATGGTATTTGTCTTTCTCTGCCTGACTTATTTCACTTAGCGTAATACCCTTAGTCCATCGTGTTGTCACCAATGGCAACAGTTCATTCTTTTTTATAGCTGAGTAATCCATTGTGTGTGTGAGAGAGAAGGAAAGTGAGAGAGTGTAAGACATCTTTATCCATCTGTCAATGGACACTTGAGTTGCTTTTAGATCTTGGCTATTGTAAGTAATGCTGCTGTAAACATAGGGGTGCCTTATCTTTTTGAATTAGTGTTTTTCTGTTCTTTGGGTGAGTATTCACATATAGAATTACAGGGTCATATAGAATTTCTATTTTTAATTTTTTGAGGCATCTCCATACTGTTTTCTACAGTGGCTGCACCAATTTATATTCCCACCTACAGTGCATGGGGTTTCCTTTTTCTCCACATCCTCTCCAGCACTGGTTATTTCTTTGTGTTTTTGATTCTAGTCATTCTGACCAGCGTGAACTGATAGCTCATTGTAGTTTTGATTTGCATTTCCCTGATGATTAATGATGTTGAGCATCTTTTCATGTGTCTATTGGCTATGTGGATATCTTCTTTGAAAAATGCCTATTCGGGCACCTGGGTGGCTCAATCAGTTAAGCATCCAGCTCTTGACTTTGGCTCAGGTCACGATCTCACAGTTAGTGGGTTCAAGCCCCATGTCAGGCTGTGCACTGAGAGTGTGGAGCCTGCTTGGGATTCTCTCTCCCCATCCCCCCACTCGTGTGTGCGCGCTCTCTCTCTCTCTCTCTCTCTCTCTCAAAATAAATACACTTAGAAAAAAATACTTGTTCATGTCTTCTGCCCATTTTTTATTTATTTATTTTTTCAACGTTTATTTATTTTTGGGACAGAGAGAGACAGAGCATGAACGGGGGAGGGGCAGAGAGAGAGAGGGAGACACAGAATCGGAAACAGGCTCCAGGCTCTGAGCCATCAGCCCAGAGCCCGACGCGGGGCTCGAACTCACGGACCGCGAGATCGTGACCTGGCTGAAGTCGGACGCTTAACCGACTGTGCCACCCAGGCGCCCCACCCCATTTTTTAATTGGACCTTTTTTTTGGTACAGAATTATATGAATTTTTTATGTATTTTATTTTTTAAATTATTTAAGTTTTTAAAAGTTTTTATTTATTTTTGAGAGTGAGGGCACATGCACAAGTGGGAAGAGGCAGAGAGAGAGGGGGACAGAGGATCTGAGCAGGCTCTGTGTGCACAGAGAGCCCGATGTGGGACTTGAACTCATGAACCATGAGATCATGACCTGAACCAAAAGCAGATGCTTAACTGACTGAGTTACCCAGGTGCCCCAATTTGATTTTTTTTTAAGTGGGCTTCATGCCCAGCTTGGAGCCCAACACTGGACTTGAACTCCTGACCCTGAGATTAAGACCTGAGCTGAGAGCAAGAGTCAGATACTTAGCTGACTGAGCCACCCAGACGCTCCTTTTTATGTATTTTAGATATTAACCCCTTATCATATATATCATTTGCAAATCTCTTCTCCCATTCAATCAGTTGCTTTTTAATTTTGTTAATGGCTTTCTTTGCTGTGCAAAAGTTTCTTTTAGTTCAACGTTGCTCCAATATTTGGGAAATTTGTTAAGAGTGGTGTGAGGTGGGGCACCTCAGTGGTTCAGTCAGTTAAGTGTCTGACTCTTGATCTCAGCTCAGATCACGATCTCATGGTTTGTGAGTTCAAGCCCCTTGTCAGGCTCTGCACTGTTTAGCACAGAGATCTCTATCTGTGTCCCCTAAAGCTTGGGATTCTGTCTCTCC